GGGTCCCGCCTGATTAAGGCTTTTGTATGTTACCTAGTGGGGTAGGGGAAGGGCCTTGGTCCCGCCTGATTAAGGCTTTTGTACGTTACCCACTGGGGTGGGGGAAGGGCCCGGGTCCCACCTGATTAAGGCTTTTGTTTGTTACCCTGTTAGGTGAGGTCCGCTCTGTTCGTGAGGTCGGTCTGTGTGCAGTCTGGTTCAGCCTTCTTTCTTGTTGCTGTTTTAAGGTTAGTTGTATCAATTAACTATATTTTCATTATTTCAATTAACTATATTTCACTATTTGTGGCTTTGGGAGGAACTCTCCATCTCACCTCTCATGCTGCCATCTTAAATCTCTCTAGGTAGATGATAGAGAAGTAAATAGATAAAGGATGGATAGGTAGATGATAGATAAACGGGTAAGATGAACAGATATGGGTTAGTACATAGATGATAGAAAGGTAAGTAGATAAAGGATGGATGGGTAGTAGATGATAAATAGATAAGGTAAACATTGACAGGATAGATAGGCATGGGTAGGTAGCTAGATGATAGACATAGATTGATTATGATAAGAGTATAATCCAGTTCACTTGGAGAGTTAAGGAAGATATAGGAAGTAATTAGGAGACATACTAGACAGTATGTAGAATGTGTGTTCTACAAACTCTTCTCCCTGGAAGAAGTAGGGGAAAAGCTACAGAATGGTCAGGAAAGACATCATGGAGGATGAGAGACCCGTGGCTGTTGAATGTGCCAAATGGGGGATGTAACATTTTAACACAGCCTTACAGTGTTAGCTTACAGTGTTAGCTTAAGGACACAGCCAAGTTCTCTGTGCTGCTCCTGGGGCTGACTTCACCCTGGGCTCTCCTCACAGAGCATGGTTGGGAGGAGCAGAGGAGGGATAGAAGTCAGGGAAATCTGTTGTGCCTTTCACCAGGCATCCGTGTGGTGGGCTGTGCACAATTCCCACAGCAGCATGCTCTCCGGAGAACAAGCTAGAAATGAACACAGAGCACTGATGAGGAGATCAGAGTGGATGGGGGAGCAGGAGAAGATGGGAGATACAGTTGAATAAGGGGAGGGACACAAAACCTCCAAGATAATGAGACCTTGGTGGCGGGCTGCAGAGACACCCACAGGCTTTGGAACATGGTAGCATCATGATGAAAACACAGTATTTCAAGAAGACTCCCTGGGCAGCCAGATGAAAGGAGACAGGAAGAGACTGGAAGCAAGGAAACTTTGGGTGAGACCATGGCTGTCATTCAAACCAGAGGGCGAGGAGCTGGAGGCTGGGGTGGTAGATGTGGACAAGAAAGAAGCAGAGGCTCAGAAAGCTCCCATGATACCTAGTGGCTATGGAAGGCGTGGGCGGTGGAAGAGGGAGGCGTTCAAGAGGAGAGTGGGGCTGCACTCAAGGACCCACACATCCCCTTTGCCGCAGGATTTCTACGTGGGGCTGTCGGGTCAGCGCTGGACACAGAACAGCATGGAGACTTGGGAAAAGGAAAGTTTTTGCTTTACTCAGTGTCAGTTGGGAAATCTATAAAACTAGCCACTTTCTCTGGAAATGGTTTTAGTGCTAAGACGTTCTTTGTATTATACAGCAGTACTTCCCCCTTGGCCTCAATTTGGAGATGCGATTGCTGAGACATCAAAGGGTTTTGAACCTGAAAGAATCTGGAATTATTTGTTGACCTCTCTGCAGCATCAACGCTATAGGACACCTGCTCCCCCTTGAGAGGTGCTGCCCCCTTGGTTTCTGACATACTCCCACAGTTCTCTAACTCTCTGATCCTGCCTTCCCAATCTCGTTTCTGGTCCTCTGTTTTAAGTTCAAGTTCTCCCTGGGTTCTGATGACTCCCAAATCTACCTCCCTGCTCACCGCCGTCTAGCCGTCTCTCCAGCTGGGCAGCAGAGTCCCCATCCGGATGCCCATCTCTCCTACTTGGTTAACCCTCTCTTTTCAGGCAGCTCCTACCCACTCCTGCCTTCCTCCCAGCCAGATCCCTCACCCCATCAAGACTGTCATCTCATTGTGCCTTGTGGTCCAGGGAGCGGATCATAAGACACCCTGATTGTATCATGTCTTCCTTCTTGGTTCCATCAGTCACCAATGTTATTTCTCCTTCAGCACCTCTCACTGCCACACCTGTTACTGTCCTGTCCTAGCCCAGAAGCTCACCATCGATGGCAAGGAACACACAGCCTAGCTTATGGTGCCGTGGTACGATGGCTGGTCACAGGACAGGGCTCTGTGGAGTCCCAGCCTCTGCCCAGGCCCTCAGGGGGTAAAGTGAGGCGGCAGCCAGTATCTGCCTATAGAAACTACTCTTTTTCTCTTTGATATATTGAATTTCCATTTGATGAAAGGGACCACAGCTTTAAAAAGCTTTTAGAATTACCGTTAATGCAGAAAAGTGTGGATTTTTATTTCTGAATGTCCACATAAGTATTGGTGACATTGACAGGTTACTTTATATATCTCAAATCTAATAATATAGACAGCATGCCTCATTTTATTGTGCTTTGCTTTATTGCATTTGGCAGATACTGCATTTTTTATGGATTGAAGGTTTGTGGCAACCCTGTGTCAAGACGGTCTATGGGCGCCATGTTTTCTGACAGCATTTGCTCACCTTGTGTCACGTTTGGGTAGTGATATTCAAACTTTTTCATTATTATTGTATCTGTTATGGTGATCTGTGATCAAGGATTATGACTGAGAGCTCAGATGGTGGTTTAGCATATTTTAGCAATATTTTTTATTTTGTATTTTTAATGAAGATATATATAATATTTTAATTAAAGTATTTTTAATTAAGGTATGTATTATTTTTAGACATAATGCTGTTGCATAGTTAGTGGACTATAGTACAGTGCAAACATAACTTTTACGTGCACTGGGAGCCACAAAATTCATTTGACTCACTTTATTGCAGTATTTGCTTTTTGTTGGTGTGCAGCTGAACTCGCAATATCTGAGCTGTGCCTGTGATATACATTACTATGTATATCTCAAATATATATATTTATGTGTGTATACACACATATGTCTATATACACATGCTCACAAATATAATAATAGCAATATCTGCTTGCAGGATTGTTTTGAGCACACAAATGCAATGCCTGGAACTTATGTTACCTCTTTAGAGAGACTGTGACTTGCAGTCTGAAATAGCCACAGCACCCTCATTTTAAGACTCCGGTGGGACTCACCAGTATCTGATAGTTCTTTGTTTCTGTGTCATTGTCTGTTTCCCCGCTTATATATGGAAGCCCCACAAAAATAGGGGCTTTGTTTTTCTTGTTCACTGCTGATTCCTCGTGACCCAGGACAATCCCCAGCACATAGTAAATGCTTAGTAAGTTTTTGTGTTCAGGTTGGGGAATCAGTTCATTCAAGGGGCTTAATAAAAAGTAGGGTTTACTCTTCTTTCCTGACTTTTCAAAGTCTGTCCCAAATCCAACCTAGTTTATGTGATGTTAGACTGGTTCTCCTAAAATGTTGATTTTAATCATGTTTGCTTCTGCTCCAGATCTCCAAAGAGCCCTTATAAAGTTCAAAACTTTTCATAAACCAGGACTACCTTTGGGTAGTTCAGCTTTCCAGCCAAAGTGACTCCTTAATGTTTCTCTGTACATATCTTATTTTGCTTATCCTGTGTCCATAATCTTTCCTCCTCCGGAAAGCCCTTACCTTCCATTCTGCAGACACAGATACTGTTCTTCTATTAAGCCAGTATTCTCAGTGTATTTTCTGAAGGTACCATATAGTTCTGTGAGATACCAATGCTCAAGATCCTCTGACTTCTGTTCTTGTTTTTTCACTACACTGTTTGCCAGTATGCATTCTGAGAAAACCAGGGGACATGAGGGGAGGAAAAAAAAGCCATATAACAAAGTTGAACTAATTTAATTTTGCCTTCTCAGGGCCCTTAAAATGCTGAGAGACTGTGTGAATTGGCAAAAGTAGGTTATAGAATGCAGTGTTTCCCAAACTTGCTTAACCAAAAAACACTGTCTTCAAGGAGCAGCTCCCAGATTTGGTACTGCATGAATTAAACTTTGGAAAGTGCTGTTTTAATACAATCTGAAATGCACCTCTTTGATAAACTGATCACTCTACAGTGCTTTGACCCCCTCTTCGCTGAACTCTATAACACTTGTGGTATATTATCCATCAGAATCACTGTTCATGTGGCAATTTATACATTTTATTGGTATACTTTATCTCCACAACCTAATTAGAAGTTCTTGGAGGGACTGAGCCCCTCTGTGCCTAGCGCATGAGCCGTGCACACAGCTGATGGTGAGAAAGTGCCCACTTAGTACATGAGTGGGACTTTCCCATTCTTTGTATGTTCTCAGCACTTTAACAATGTCTCCTTGCTCATGGCCTTGAAGGTCTCCCTGTAACCTCTGCCTTTATATTGCTCTGTGCTTACTAATTCACACTGAATGCCCAGAATGGTTTCTATTTTTAGGACAGATATATCATCTTCCCTCTGAAAATTCTTGATCTCATTTGAAAAGATTTACCTGTAGTTTATTTTCTACAGATGTTATCACTTCCCATCCCCAAGCTCCAGCTTCCTATCACTCTAGAAAACCTGGGTACTTGGGCATGGATTTAAAGATACAAACTCTTTTTTTTTTTTAAATCAGTTCCTGCCAAAGGCTGAGTGGCAGGCTTTTTGTCTGTACAGTACAAGAAAAATAATATTTTATTCCTTTCTTGGGATTTTGGAAGCTACACAATCAACAGTAATGCAAACCTGATGGCATTTTAAAGGGATTTTAGTCCAAGTGTCTTGAAAAGGTTCTGTTTGATCCCATGTCTGATGTTGGCACCCATAGCCATAAAAAAGTCAATTGTCCTTGAAATTTTAAGTTAATCAAGTTTAGGGGGACTGAAAGTATCTATAACGAAGAGAATAAAAAATGTAGCCATATGATGGTAAGCCTGGCACTGACAGCAATCTAATCTTCATGTATTTTGTTGCAGTCTTGTGACAACATCTACAAGGGCCTGGCTCAGACAGGTGCCTGGGGCTGTTTTGATAAGTTTAATCGAATCTCCGTGGAAGTCTTGTCCGTGGTGGCCGTACAGGTATGGGGGCCAGATGCTGTTCAGAGCCTTTCGGTCTGGATGCCACATGCTGTGGCAGTCTACAGCCTCTTGTTTTCTACCTCTCTTCACCCACTTCCCTATCAATTTCTCCCCGGGCATTTCCCCTTCCCCCTCTGGACCCAGGCAAGGAGCAGCTTCTTTTCTCCTCCGGTCTTGGGGTTCTTTCTCTCCCTCTCCCCTCTGCCTTTCTCACCACTCTCCTCTACACCCTTCACACCTCCTCCTGCTGGCTCAGCCTCAGGCTGTCCTACCAAATGTAACAGTGTCCTTCCTCGAGGAGGCCATGCCCAAGAGCCACTGTCCCCAGTGCATAATGGGTAGATCCTGCAAACTGGCCTTATTTTGAAACAGTCTAGCATGAAGCCTGTAATGGTTTCTCCACAGTCAGTTCCCTTTTGTTTCTGAAGTTCTGTTCTGAAATAAGTTCAACCTGGAATTCCCTGATGCTTTTACACTCCAGTCTAGGAACACATCCACAGGGGACATTCTCAAGGAAGTGGTCAAACCAAAGCCCAGGCAAAATCTAAGCAGGGACCACTGAAAATCATACACTCAGCCAAGGAGAAAATTGCACCTAACTACTCATGCAACAATCCAGGCTGGCATATTGGTTCAGGGACCGCACCAGCTGTGGCGTTTCTCTCCCCCTCTGCCTCTCCTCTGCTCGGCAGCTTGTCTGTCTGTGCTCCTTTTCCAGTAACTTCTACAAAAATGAGTACACTTTGGTGTCCTCGTAGGTGGGTATTTTCATGTCTCTGTCAGGTTGTTCAAGCAGAATTGCATATCCAGTTGGAAAAAAGTGTGGCAATTCCAAAAGCAATTACTCTGCTCAATTTTATGTATGTATAATACACTTTTTTTCCTGAAATTTTGCCATTATTGTTGCAACTGACTCTCTAGGCCTTTTGGGTTTTCTGGGCCCAGGACATGCTCCACCGGGACACACTCCTCCACTTTGTACGTCCAGCCCCTTGTCCCCCCTCCACACTCTGGCCAGAAGTCCCTGCCCTTCCCTCCCTCCTCGGTACGAGCCCCCACAGTGCGCTGGGCCGAGGTGCAAAGCAGCCAGAGCTGCAGATCAGTTGGCAAGGCCTTGGGAGCCCCCCAAAGTGGCATTCTGAGTACTCAAGGCGTGGAACAAATGCTGGAGTCTCAGAGCCAAGGGAGCCTTTCTGTGTAACACCCTTTATAGGGGAGCTGAAGTTCTAAGGTAAAAACACAGACACATTTTAAAAATGTGAAAAGAGATGAGTGGGTTGCACTTCCTGAAGGCAGCAGTTGCCAGCCTACCACTGCAGGGAGGAGCCTGGCATGAGCCAGGTAAGATTTTAGCAACATGTGGCACCTGGAGGCAAAGGCTGGCAAAGAGGATAACACCACACACTGTAAGGGGATAAGGGAGAGGGGTGTGGAGAAAAGCTGGGAGGATTCATGTGACATAAAGCAAGCCAATGACCTCCCTAAAATATGTCACCAGCAAGGACTTTAATACTTCATGAGTGGGTCTGAGGCAAGACCCTAGCCTGGGTGGGGAGAGACAGGGGCAGAGCCCTCTATGGTCCCAAGTTCCAGTCTCTGAAGAGAGAGGTGTGCTCAGGATATCCAATCAAGCCCTCTTGACAAGCAAACATGGCTTGTGCAGGTAATAGGACCAATAATTTTAAATCAGGGCTGGTCTGCAATATAGAGAAATAAAACCTCTGCATCAAAAAATATAAGGCAGAAAGAAAGCTACATCAGAGAAGTGCAGTTACAGGTCGTGGAGGCTAGAAAGAAGTGGTAAGCCTGTCGCTGGTTGAAGGCCCATGGAGGGAAATGAGGTACAGGGCAGGGTGGCCCAGTTGCAAGGACACTTACGTAGACTCCGCCCCACCACAGAACTGCTGTGAACAATCTGCATTTGCAAGAGATCTCTAAAGATTCCTAAGCACTGGCAAGCTGCAGACATGCTGCTCTGGCTGCACATTGTCATGGCCTGGGCAAGTCTGAAAAAATAGCTAGGCACAAATGCAGTCTCCATGCCCAAAGATTCCGATTTCATTGGGCAGGACCTAGGCATAGAGTTGTTTGTTTTTTTAACTTCCCACATGGTTCTCATGTTCGATGTTCAGTAAACTTTGAGAACCAGAGCTGAGAAGGAGACTAACAAGGAAGGAAACCATCTTGAGGCCTGGGGAGTTTGGTTCACATCAGGACCCACAAGATTGAGCGTGGCTGGTCCAGGTGGGTGACCTACAGGGACACGTCCTCTTCACGGCAGGTGGGGCAGAAGGGAGTGAGGATGCAGGGAGGGGACAGTCTGCAGCTATGAAGGGGACAGGGCAGCAGCAGTTCTGAGCAGAAATCTAAGAATCAGCTAGACTGCGGTGATTCCTGAACTTTAGCATGCATCAGAGTTACCGAGATGGCTTATGAAAACTCACCTGGTCTTTGGACCTCACCCCCAGAGTTCCTGATTTGGCCCATTGGGGGTGAGGCCAAGAATTTGCTTGGGAATTTGGTAAGACCCAGAGACACAGTCTGTGGACTAGTGGACAAGTGGACAAGTCACTTATAGCTCTTGGCCTCTGTTTTCTCAAAGGTAAATGGTAAAATGTCTAATCCAGATCCCAGTTTTCTCAACTTTTGGCACTATTATCTTGGGCCTGATAATTCTTTGTTACATAGATGTGTCCTGTGCATTGTAAGACATTTAGCCACATCTCTGGCCTCCACCCTGTAGGTGCCCCCTAGTTGTGCCCACAAGAATGTCTCCAGACATGGCCAAACATCCCCTGGGAGAACACTGATTTCTACTAGCTCTGCATTTTTGTTTGTTTTCTTTAATGGGTGGCAAAGTGCCTTGTCTCATTTCCTGGGAATTTAGGTCTCTAAATTATAACAAACAATTACTTGCAGGGCAAAACAAATGACTCAGAACTGGTATACAGTTGACAAGGGGCCATATATGGCTGGGCACAGTCTTCCTTGTGGTAGGAGGCAGTTTGGGGAAGTGCCGAAAAGCACTGCTTTGGCACCAAATTGCCTGGTTTTTAACTCAGGTTGCCCCCCTTACCAACTGTTAGACATTTGGCAAGTTTCTCTTAACCTTTTATTTTGAACCAATTTTAGATTCACAGAAAAGTTGCAAAAATAGCACAGGATTCCAACATCTCATTTCTGTAGCTACCACTAATGTCAACGTCTTACCTGACTGTAGTACAGCTCCTTAGCTGCCTTCTGCCTCAGCTTCCTTGTCTGTTAAACAAGAATCCCCCCATCTACACAGCTGTTGAGAGGACTGAATGGAATGATCATGCAAAAAGGCTCTGAAAAGCACTGGCACATATCAGCTACTCAACAAACACCAGTTGTTATTTTGTTGTCATTCCCTTGTGGCTTTAAAATCTCCCAAAGCGAAGAGTTTTTAATGGAGAAACAGACCTCTAGGGCGAGGAGTGTAAGTGATTTCTCAGGTATCCATCTGTACCTACTTTGTGCACCTCCAGCCGGCTGGGCTTACAGGTTAATTCATACAGTCCCAGTTCACCTGCTTCTTCCTCTGGCCCAGCATCCTGAAGGACCGCTGGAAGTCGTCAGGGCCTCCTGGCCCTGACCACTGTTGTATTCCAATGGCTCATGCAGTGAACCTTGGCTGCTGCTAAGGCAGTGAGGAAATGCAAGCTGACCTGCTCCTGTCCTGCACAGGCTGGGCCAGTGGAGCCAGCTATAAGCACTAACACACCAACGTTAACTGCATTCCTCGAGTCTGCTCAACATTCACCCCAAGGGCCCTCCTATAGCATTTTTACACAGAAGCACAGATGCCTGCAGTCCTCCAGCACATCATCATTTCTCAGTGAGTGTGAGGTTTCTAGCCTTCAGAGTCACAGGAGGGCATGCTGAGTCAGAGCGAGCTCCAGAAAGGGTCTGGGGGTTACCTTTGCCCAAGGGTGCCAGAGCAATTTGTAAGTGGCAATAAGCTCACTTCCCTATTTCAATAACAAGGTGAGAGCTCAGTATATTTTGCAGATGGGAGGACAGGGGTGGAGGAGAAAACACAGGCTTCACCACTCCCATATCTCGCAGGGTGACAGGGTGGCAGAGGGCTCGGTGGCAGAGCTGTGCCATGAGCACCATGAGAAGCAGCAGGGCTCCACCTGTTGGTGGCACACTGGGCACTGGAGACCACCTTTGCCAGAACGTCATTGACATTCTGTACATGGGAAAGAAGTTTCAGTTGCAAACTAATTGCTGTGAGCTCGAGTGTATTCAGTCATCAGAGCTTTACTCTGGGAAGGAGCTGAACCCTGAATGTGGAACAGGCTTGTGTTCTGGCAGCCATTCCCTTCCAGGCACTGGAGAGACAGAGCTGGTCCAGCTGCTGTTTGTGGTCCAGCTGTCTCTCTGTCTCTTTCTCTCTTTGTCTCTCTGTGTCTCTCTCTCTCACACACATCCCTACAGTCCAGTCTCCACAGAAGCCGTGGCTATTCTAACCACCCTGAATGTAGCTGACAGGTTTGGGGCTCATTCAAAATCTTGCACTGAGCGTAGCTTCCAGGTTTTACATTCAAGAACCCTGAGAGGCTGGAAAGACTCAGAAACATTCTGGGGTCCAGCGTCCCTTTTGTCTTCCTCCTTTTGCTGCTGCTGATTTCTGCACACATTTTTTCAAAGCACCAAATGTGAAAATAAATGGATGAATTTCATTTCTGTTTCTCCTCCCACTGCTATAAGAGCGATCTAACAGGTAGATATGACCCAGTCAGGCTTCAGCTTCAACCTCCTCTGGCTCCAGACCACATTTAAGAAAAAGCCGAATCTCTTTAGAAAGGTCCCAGTAGCCCTTGAAGATCTGGCTCCAGCCTCCCGTTGCCACTTTGGCCCTTTCTAGTCACCACCGTGCATGGAACACTCCATCCCTAAAGGGGTCACCTGTGCATACACAGTCTGTTCTAGAACATAGTCTGGGTAGTGGCTGTGAGGAGCTGAAGCAAGATGAGGATGATCACATTAGCAGTTTCCATGTGAGCTGCTATTTTTTGGCAGCATTTCCTGAATGCTAAGCTCTTTACAGACTGTATTTTGTTTAATCCTCCAAACAGTCCCAATGGCTTCATCATCCTGTGGCTAAGAGCCCAGGCCCTGCTCATCATTGAGAAATGGGGACAATGGTATTGAAGTGCTCCCCTCAAAGGATCATGGTGAAGATCAAATGAGTTAATGCACAAAACATGCTCAGAAAGGTGCCTACATGTGGCTGGTGCTAATACCCTTAGCTGTTTCCACAGAGGGGGCTGACGTTCAGAGAGGTCGCTTCACTCCCAGCCTCTTAGTCAGTGTGTTATGCATATGGATAAGGGTGCCCCGAGTTCTTTTAGAGGTGTAGCCAGGGCCCATCAGTACAGATCCAGCATGCAATTCTGTCCTTCACTGAAAAGGAGCCACAGAGCATGTGTGTGAACCATGGGTTCCAGCCTGAGCTGCCACCCACCACTGAAGCACAGTGGAAGCATGTTCTGTTGACTTGTTCACCAGGTGAAAAGCATTCAAGATGCAATTCGAGATAAAAAGCAGCGGTTTGGCTTCCCTGGGGAGGCGATTAGCCTGAACCCCTCTGTGGGTATCTTCATCACCATGAACCCTGGCTACGCTGGCCACACAGAGCTGCCGGAGAAACTCAAGGCCCTCTTCAGGTGAGAGTCAGCTCTGCCCCAGGCAAGTGCCCCAAAGAGAAGTTTCTTTTATTTTTCCCACTGAAAATGTATGACATATATATCAGAAGAAATTTGGAATGCTTTAAAAAGTAGATTTTACAAAACCATCTTTAATGCTATCACTGCTGAAATTATGTTTTGCTTAATCGTGTTCTGTTCTTCTTTATATGTATACTATAAAGTCATATTTGTAGTCTACATTTGTGGTCTACACACTGTTTCACATTGGTTTGTTTTTTCAGTTCACAGTCTATCTTAATCCTAGCATAAATAGTGTCTTCTCTTAGGCAGTCTTAAGAAATCTTCTTTCATGACTGCATTTTATTCTATCAGGTGCATGGTTCACAGTGTAATTAACAAGCCCCCATAGTTAAATATTAGGACTGTTTCCAACATTTTAAATGAATTTATGCATAATGTGGTAATATATATCTTTGTATGTAAGTCTTTCTTTTTTCTGTATGCATGATTATTTTCTTTGGCTCGCTTCCCAGAAGTGGAATCACTGAGTTAAGAGGAAGGAACATTTTTAAGGTTCTTGATACACATTGCCAAATTGCTTTCTAAAGAGAGTAGTGCCAAATGACACTCCTAGTAGCAATGCATGAGAGCACCTCTTTTACTTTTGCCACCAGTGGGTATCGCCATGTGTGTAAATCTTCTTTATTGTGTGCAATAAAAGAAACATAAATGCATTTTGTAGCAGGGACTGGAGTCTCCATTCTTTTTTCAGAAGAGAAGCCAGCCCAACAAAAAGAAAGCAGAAAGATGCTTCTACTTCATGGCTTTTGATTTTCTGCCTGTGAGCTGGTACCTAACAGAGAGAGGCTATGGGAGCTCTGATAAAGCTGTTGGTCTTGTCTCTAGACTGAGAGACCCAGGCCTGTCTGTTTGGGGATGCAGAGGCTTAGGGGACTGCTGGGAAGCTCCTGTATACATTTTCCCTCACATTTAAATGGTTCCCATGGTGGCAAATCCCTGTCTCACTTGGAGAGGTGTGTGGCTCTCCTTCAGGCAGATCCCCAGTTTAGCCAAGAGCTTGTTGGAATGTCAACAGGCTGTCTAAGCTGGTACCACAAGATACAGGATTGTTTGCTATTTGTTTACACAAAGTGTTTATTACATAAGGCTTGTGCTACAAATAATGATGGGGGTGACTTATCACCCTGGTAAGAATTATTCCTTATATTTTGTTGCTGAATTTCAAGGCAATACAGAAGAAAATTTGGGGGGACAAAACAGAAACATATTTGTAAAAACAATAAATGCAAACACCTACTTTAACATTAATTCTCACAAAACCCCTATGAGATGGATAATATTAGTGTTCCCCTTGCTCAGTGAGAAAACAGAATCAACAAATTGCCAGGGTAGATCCCTGTTACTGGGGTTAGCTAGTAACCCAACTAGTAAGCAGCAGTACCGGAGTTTGAACCCCGGCATCTGACAGCAGGCACTCTGTCCCTCCCCATCTCGGGCCTGTCATCCTGGGATGCTCAGCAGAGCCCTTGGCATTCTTTCTTCCAGTTTGGTGTGAACAGAGTGTTTCTTATTCAAACTTGGTATGAGACTCTGTATATAGTTTAGTATGTTGCCTTTATTAGTTAATGTTTTCCCATGTCATTAAATAGTTTTTCTCATACCACATTACTTTTTGTGGCCACACTGCATTCTGTTGTATGGATGCATATTTAACTTTATTTCAGGCTTCAAAGTAATTTTGAGCATCTGAGCATTTGGTTGCTCCTTTGAGTTTGGAGGCAATGTGAAATAACTTAAAGAAAAGATGTAAGTGACTGATATGTTTTTGAAAATTTTTATCTGTGTAGGAAAAATGCAATTAAAGGAATATAATAACCTTAGGCTCCTATTACATTCCTAATCAGTTTTGAAAGTGAGTAATTTTAAAATCAAATGTTTCTAGAGCTACAGGGGGAAAATCACAGGAAATCCTTATGCACAGACAAACGTCCCCTTCTATAGTCTCCTATACACCATTCTGTGGCAAGTGGGGTTCATAGGTACCTACTTTAGATCTCAGCATGAGAGATTTCCACGTGTATGTGGCAAGTACAAGGGAAGCCTGAGCATCAGGGCTTGGAGGTGATGCATGTTCTGAGAATGCGGAATGGGGAGATTCTCATTTTCTTGTGGACACCAAGAGAGACTCAGTTCCTCAAGCTTAGCCCTTAATCTATTATGGAAGATTAACAATCTAGTAATCCACTAATTACTAAGGCTTTACTGATCTGTGCCTTGTGCAAGGCACACAGGATTCAGGTTGCAAGACTCAGCTGTGGTCCCATTTCTGCCTCTACCTGCTGACATCATCCATTACCTTGGACAAGAGTTCACTTCCTTTATCCTTAGTTAGCTCATCTTTAAATTGAGGGTCTTTGATGAAATAATTGCTAAGGTCTCAGTTTTTGCACTCACAAATGCCTCTGTCCATGATCTCAGCCAGTGACTCTTGTCTTACAAGCTCCCTGCAACTCTGTGGTTGGGAAACCTAATTGGCTCTCTGTGTCCTTGTATGCAGGCCTTGTGTGATGGTTGTTCCCAACTTTGAGTTGATCTGTGAGATCATGTTGGTGGCAGAAGGATTCATTGAAGCCCAGTTATTAGCCAGAAAATTCATCACTCTCTACCAGTTGTGCAAAGAGCTTCTCTCCAAACAGGTGCATTCCCTAGCTAGACTGCTCACCGCTCCTATGTGATTGCCCCAGCTCTGGACCGGTTCTGGGGCCAGGATGTTAGGCAAATGTTAGAGCGTTCTCAAGGACACTCACTCTGTGCTCAGCTTATTAAAAGCTCTGAACACTTCTATAATAAAGATCTGTGTTCATTTTCTTAGCCCAGCATTTTTAAATGATTTGGTTGCGGAACTCCATTTTCTGAAAGAATACTTAGCAACACCTTATAGATCCAGTGTCCCAAGAGAAATCCTGCAGTGGCAAACAAAACCCTTGGAGGCAATGGTCTTTATCTGAAGGGGCATGATATGGGGAGAGGGTTGGAAAGAGAGAGTTAGGCAGTAAGGATCCCCGCTTCTCACTGCCGCTTGTCCTTAAAAGGACAAGAAGGACCTATGGCAGGTCCCCCGGCAGGAATAGCACCTTTAAACATGACTGAGCACCTCTAAGTCTAAGCCTTCAGGGGAGAATTTCTTGCCGGGAAGGACAACCATCAGGCTTCCCTGGGCTGCTCCCACAGCCCCTCTACAGTTTGGGGGTCTCTGGCTTGGATCCCATTTGCCACCACAATATGGGCTCTCTCAGCCCTGTGAAATCTGTCCAAGGCGCATAACCACCTCCAGCTGAGCATCTGAAGCTGCTCTTCATGCCAGCCCCCCACCCCAAGCCTACTTCTCCTGAATTCCCCACTTCAGTACCAGGAACCATCATTTACTCACTTGTTAATTCCAGAACACTGCAGGTTATCCTCAACCTGTGCCTCTTCCTCAGCCCTACCTCTTATAATGAATGAGCTGTTGTGCATTTTACCCCCTGGATATTTCTCACATGTGTCTCATATTCTCTCTACCCCTTTAGTTCCAAGCACCCACGTCTCTGGCTTAAACTCTTGGAACTGCTTCTCTGCAAGTTTCTCTACCTCTGCTCCAGTTCCTCGAGCCCATTCTTTAGCCACCAGCTAAAGTGATCACTTAAAAATGCTTCTCACTGGTTTTAGAATAAAGACCAGTATCCTGATCACACCCTTAAAAGACTGTGTGGGGCTCTGCCTCCCACCTACTTTCACAGCCCTGCACTGGCCTTCCCTAATCTCAGTGTGCATTGAAGGACAAAGACATGGCTGCTGTAATAGGCGGAGGAGCAGACTTCCGTGAAGAAACAACATTAAAGTCCTGACGGCATAGAATTCAGTGAAGCACAGATGAGAAAGAAGTGCAGCCCAGGCCAGAAGAACCAGGTTATCCACAGGCTGAGGTAGGGCACTCACAGTTTGGGGCAGAGCCACCTTGTCCCCTGTCTTCCTTGCACAGTGAATTGCAGCATGTGTCACAGCTCTCATTAAATAATGATCTGCTATGAAGCAAGGAGCAGAGTGGGGACTTGAATCTAGTTCTGCCTGAGTGCAGGCTCTGCTCTGTACTACACACTTCCCCTACCACGCTGCTCGTACACGTGGTGTCAGCAGTATGGCTCACTCTCCCCTGGCATCTACTGTCAGGACTTGTGACCAGTGAGTTTTACTTTTGACAGAATTTTTAAGCAACTGTTTTTGGGGGAATTCCTTTCTCAGAGTGTTTGAAGGCCTCCAGGGTGGAGTGTGCGAGTTCAGCCTTGGCCATTTCTAAGAGCCAACAAGTTCCCTTCTTTATAACCCTTCCACCCACTGGATGTACAAGGAGTAGCTAGACAGGTTTGGAAGTGGTTCTGTTTAGTTTCCCTGACCTCCAGCCCCTGTATGTTCTGCATCTGTGTTATTGTCATCATAGCTGGAAAACTAATGCCAGACCAGGAGTGAGGATCCTGTGATCAGAATCTTCTACATCACTGGTCTTTTCCTGTGCCTCTATCTTGGCCCCAGAAGTGACATAATCCTGATGGGATATCTATAACTTTGCAGACACCAGCCCAAGTTCATGGTGTTCTGCAGCCCACAGCCCTGGTCTAACCTGTGCTGCCATCCCACAGGATCACTACGACTGGGGCCTGCAGGCCATCAAGTCTGTGCTGGTGGTGGCAGGATCCCTGAAGCGAGGGGACTCTGACCGGCCTGAGGACCAAGTCCTGATGCGCTCCTTGCGAGACTTCAACATCCCCAAGATTGTGACTGATGACATGCCAGTGTTCATGGGCCTGATTGGGGCCCTGGACGTCCCTTGGAGGAGAGACCTCAACTTTGAAGGTTTGGTTAGGAAGGCGGTGGTGGATCTGAAGCTCCAGGCTGAAGACAACTTTGTGCTCAAGGTACATGGGGTTTTCCCTCCCAAAATTTCTTTGTCTCTTGGTCCTTTCCTTGGGTGATTGGTTTCCTTCATTCTCAATCCAAGGGGTACTTTAGATGTACAAATGTGTATCAATTTAGTAATAACCCAGTTCAAGAGCTCTTTATTAGGGCACTCACAGTGTGGAATGAGTGTACCTTGGACAAGAGTTCACTTCTTTTATCCTTAGTTAGCTCATCTTTAAATTGAGGGTCTTTGATGAAATAATTGCTAAGGTCTCAGTTTTTGCACTCACAAATGCCTCTGTCCATTGTCTCAGCCAGTGACTCTTGTCTTACAAGCTCCCTGCAACTCTGTGGTTGGGAAACCTAATTGGCTCTCTGTGTCCTTGTACGCAGGCCTTGTGTGATGGTTGTTCCTGACTTTGAGTTGATCTGTGAGATCATGCTGGTGGCAGAAGGATTCATTGAAGCCCAGTTATTAGCCAGAAAATTCATCACTCTCTACCAGTTGTACAAAGAGCTTCTCTCCAAACAGGTGCATTCCCTAGCTAGACTGCTCACCGCTCCTATGTGATTGCCCCAGCTCTGGACCGGTTCTGGGGCCAGGATGTTAGGCAAATGTTAGAGCCTTCTCAAGGACACTCACTCTGTGCTCAGCATATTAAAAGCTCTGAACACTTCTATAATAAAGATCTGTGTTCATTTTCTTAGCCCAGCATTTTTAAATGATTTGGTTGTGGAACTCCATTTTTTAAAAGAATACTTAGCAACACCTTATAGATCCAGTGTCCCAAGAGAAATCCTACAGTGGCAAACAAAACCCTTGGAGGCAATGGTCTTTATCTGAAGGGGCATGATAAGGGGAGAGGATTGGAAAGAGAGAGTTAGGCAGTAAGGATCCCCGCTTCTCACTGCCGCTTGTCCTTAAAAGGACAAGAAGGACCTATGGCAGGTCCCCCGGCAGGAATAGCACCTTTAAACATGACTGAGCACCTCTAAGTCTAAGCCTTCAGGGGAGAATTTCTTGCCGGGAAGGACAACCATCAGGCTTCCCTGGGCTGCTCCCACAGCCCCTCTACAGTTTGGGGGTCTCTGGCTTGGATCCCATTTGCCACCACAACATGGGCTCTCTCAGCCCTGTGAAATCTGTCCAAGGTGCATAACCACCTCCAGCTGAGCATCTGAAGCTGCTCTTCATGCCAGCCCCCCACCCCAAGCCTACTTCTCCTGAATTCCTCACTTCAGTACCAGGAACCATCATTTACTCACTTGCTAATTCCAGAACACTGCAGGTTATCCTCGACATGTGCCTCTTTCTCAGTCCTACCTCTTATAATGAATGAGCTGTTGTGCATTCTACCCCCTGGATATTTCTCACATGTGTCTCATATTCTCTCTACCCCTTTAGTTCCAAGCACCCATGTCTCTGGCTTAAACTCTTGGAACTGCTTCTCTGCAAGTTTCTCTACCTCTGCTCCAGTTCCTCGAGCCCATTCTTTAGCCACCAGCTAAAGTGATCATTTAAAAATGCTTCTCACTGGTTTTAGAATAAAGACCAATATCCTGATCACACCCTTAAAAGACTGTGTGGGGCTCTGCCTCCCACCTACTTCCACAGCTGCAGTTCACAGCCCTGCACTGGCCTTCCCTAATCTCAGTGTGCATTGAAGGACAAAGACATGGCTGCTGTAATAGGCAGAGGAGCAGACTTCCCTGAAGAAACAACATTAAAGTCCTGATGGCATAGAATTCAGTGAAGCACAGATGAGAAAGAAGTACAGCCCAGGCCAGAAGGACCAGGTTATCCACAGGCTGAGGGGCAGGAAGACAGTCAGTTTGGGGCAGAGCCACCTTGTCCCCTGTCTTCCTTGTGCAGCGAATTGCAGCATGTGTCACAGCTCTCATTAAATAATGATCTGCTATGAAGCAAGGAGCAGAGTGGGGACTTGAATCTAGTTCTGCCTGAGTGCAGGCTCTGCTCTGTACTACACACTTCCCCTACCACGCTGCTCGTACACGTGGTGTCAGCAGTATGGCTCACTCTCCCCTGGCATCTACTGTCAGGACTTGTGACCAGTGAGTTTTACTTTTGACAGAATTTTTAAGGAACTGTTTTTGGGGGAATTCCTTTCTCAGAGTGTTTGAAGGCCTCTAGGGTGGAGTGTGCGAGTTCAGCCTTGGCCATTGCTAAGAGCCAACAAGCTCCCTTCTTTATAACCCTTCCACCTGCTGGATGTACAAGGAGTAGCTAGACAGGTTTGGAAGTGGTTCTGTTTATTTTCCCTGACCTCCAGCCCCTGTATGTCCTGCATCTGTGTTATTGTCATCATAGCTGGAAAACTAATGACATACCAGGAGTGAGGATCCTGTGATCAGAATCTTCTACATCACTGGTCTTTTCCTGTGCCTCTGTCTTGGCCCCAGAAGTGACATAATCCTGATGGGATATCTATAACTTTGCAGACACCAGCCCAAGTTCATGGTGTTCTGCAGCACACAGCCCTGGTCTAACCTGCACTGCCATCCCACAGGATCACTACGACTGGGGCCTGTGGGCCATCAAGTCTGTGCTGGTGGTGGCAGGATCCCTGAAGTGAGGGAACCCTGATCGGCCCGAGGACCAAGTCCTGATGCACTCTTTGCGAGACTTCAACATCCCCAAGATTGTGACCGATGACATGCCAGTGTTCATGGGCCCGATTGGGGACCTCTTTCCTGCCCTGGACATCCCTTGGAGGAGAGACCTCAACTTGGAAGGTTTGGTTAGGATGGCGGTGGTGAATCTGAAGCTCCAGGCTGAAGACAACTTTGTGCTCAAGGTACATGGGGTTTTCCCTCCCAAGATTTCTGTGTCTCTTGGTCCTTTCCTTGGGTGATGGGTTTCCTTCATTCTCAATCCAAGGGGTACTTTAGATGTACAAATGTGTATCAATTTAGTAATAACCCAGTTCAAGAGCTCTTTATTAGGGCACTCACAGTGTGGAATGAGTGGTGGGGAATGCAATAGAAAGACAGAGCCCCTACCATCAGGGAGCTGATGATCTAATGAAAGGAAGAAGACACGTCCATTGTGCTACAGCGCTTGTTGCCTTCCTGCGAATTACTTCTACATGGTTATAGAGGGGTGATGGTACAATGTGGAAGTCACGTTGGTTCCTCTGCATTTTTCTGATCTTATAAATGTTTTGAAGTGATCAGGAGCAAGCTTTCTTACAATTAAAAAATTCCTAGTGTTAGGAAGACTGATATAGCCCCCTGCAAGGTGTCCACATCCTAATTCCCAGGCTCTGTGAGTTTGCTACATAGCAAAGGTCACAGACGGAATTAAGGCTGCTAATAAACTGACCTGGAGATGAGATGACCCTGGGTTACCTGGGTGGCCCAATATAATCACAGTGGTCTATAAAAGTAAGCAGAATGAATGTCAGAGTGACACCACAGGAAAGAGACTTGATCAGCCATTGGGGGCTTTTAGAGGGAAGAAGGGGCCACAGGCCAGGAATGGAGCAGCCTCTAGAAGGTGGAAAAAGTAAAAACAAAACAAAACAAACAGATTCTTCCACAGATCTTTCAGAAGGATCCAGTCCTATCAACACCTTGGTTTCAGCCCAGTGAGACCCATTTTAGATTTCTGACCACCTAAACTCTTAAGAAACTTGTGTTGCTTTAAGTCATTAAATTTGCAGTGGTTTGTTACAGCAGCATTAGAAAATGAATACATTTGGCAGTAAATAAAGACTTCAAAAAAAATGTTAACTTTAGTGCAAGGGTGACCAGTTGGCTATTGGAACCATGGTGGTGTTTACATTTTCTGGGGAGGCTGAGGGAAGGTGAAGGCATTTCCCTGTTGGGTTAAAACTGTAGATTAATGAAGAAGTGTTCATCCAGAGCAGATCTTTAGTTGTGATCCAAATGACCTTTATTAGGAGTGAATATACCCATGACCTACCTCCTTAAAAAGGAAGCACAGGCCCCCAGATTTTGTGCTGCGAAGGATTGACCAACATGGGGCAAGGTGCAAGTGCTCTTGTGATTTAATTGTGCTGACATTTTTATTGGGATTAGGATATACTGTTGAGTTTTTAGGGCTTCAGATATAAAGTTCTGTACATGTTGAATGGTCTGCCCCAGTCCCTTTTCTCCAGAAGTCTATTACTTTTACTGAGCAATTTTGTAGAAAGTAACATTTTCACGATACATACATGTAGTTCCAGAAGTACCTGCACACAAATAGCTGGGCCGTGGAGTGAGATGTGACAAGTGCCACAAAGGAGGGTCCTAGGGTGTAGGGACATGGAGAGATTTTTTTTTCTTGTACAATACTATCTTTAGAAATCATATGACTATCACTTCAGTGTTTATAAGTGTTTTTATATTCAGTATCACATTTGATCCCCACAACATATTCAGCTAATGATGCAGATGAAGGACTTTACAGAGGAGGAAACTGGAATGCCGTTACTTTTCCAACATAAGCCACTAAGTTATTTCACAGGACAGAGGGTGCTCCCCCTTGGGGAACAAACAGTCTGGGGGCAGGTTACTTCTACTCCACCTCAGGAGGTGCTTCTAAGCACACAATACTTCACTGGTTGGGATTAAGCCCTGGTGACGTATAAATAGAATCGCAAATTGGTATCTGCTTTCATTTCTGAGACCACATTTTACAGAAGGAAGCAAGACATCACCTGGTCCTCTGCACCTGTAACTGTTTTCACCGATAGGCTCATAGCTACACCCAATGTCTCTCCTCCCAAGTTCACTGGATAGACTTTTTAAAGTTAGAGAAGGACAGGAGGGTCTGCCAGGTAGAGGGAAAGGCTCAGCAAAAGGGTAGATGGGGAACCATAGAGATTGTACAGCAGCAGAGAGAGCTCCAGTGTTGCTGAGAAAAGGTATTGGGGTAGTGGGTGGGCAATAGGACTGAAAAGATACTGTGGACCATAATACAGAAGACCTTGCATGCCAGACTGAGGGTTTCCTCTTAAAGGCTCTGAGCCCAAAAGGTGCCCCCACCCCAGAGATGAATTAAATCTGATGTGGTTCCTAAGATGCAGGTCATGGGGCTGATATCTTAGGATCAGGACAGTCCACATCTTCCCAGATAATCTGGGAGTTGGCTGGGGCAAGATGACCCTCCTTTCCCATTTTCTCCATTTTTTTTTCTTATTGAGAATCTGATCCTCCCTTTCCACAGATTTGTCAGTTAGCCCACATTCTCTTTTCTTTTTTATAACAGGGGGGAGAGTGGACATCCCTGTCTTGTTTGTGATCTTAGGTGAAAAGCTTTCAGCCTCTTACTGTTAAGTATGAAGTAGGCTGTGCATTTGTCATATATGGCCTTTATTATGTTGAGGTACTTGCCCTGTATACCCATTTTGTTGAGAGTTTTTATCATGAATGGATATTGAATTTTGTTGAATGCTTTTTCACCATCTATGGAGATGATTCTGTGGTTTTTGTCCTTCTTTTTGTTGATGTGGTGGGTGATATTGATGGATTTTCGAATGTTGTACCATCCTTGCATCCCAGAGATGAATTCCACTTAATCATGGCATATGATCCTCTTGATGTATTTTTAAACTCAGTTTGCTAATATTTTGTTGATTATTTTTGCATGTATGTTCATCAGGGATATTGGTCTGTAATTTTTTTTTTTGGTGGGGTCTTTGCCTGATTTTGGTATTAGAGTGATGCTGACTTCATAGAATGAGTTTGGAAGTATTCCCTCCTCTTCTATTTATTGGAAAACTTTATGGAGATTGGGCATTATATCTTCTTTCAATGTCTGATAAAATTCAGCAGTGAATCCATCTGGATCAGGGGTTTTGTTCTTGCATAGTTTTTTGATTACCGACTGAATTTCATTGTTGGTAATTGGTCTGTTTAGATTTTGTTTTCTACTTGGGTCAGTCTTGGAAGATTGTATTTTTCTAGGAAGTTGTCCATTTCTTCTTGGTTATCCAGTTTGTTAGCATATAGATTTTCATAGTATTCTCTCATAATTCTTTGTATTTCTGTGGGGTCTGTCATGATTTTTCCTTTTTCATTTCTGATTCTGTTTATGTGTGTAAATTCTTTTTCTCTTAATAAGTCTGGCTAGGTGTTTTTCTATTTTGTTTATTTTCTCAAAGAACCAGCTCTTGGTTTCATTGATTTTTTTTCTGTTGTTTTATTCTTCTTCTCAATTTTATTTATTTCTTCCCTGATCTTTATTATGTCCCTCCTTCTGCTGACTTTAGGCCTCATTTGTTCTTCTTTTTCCAGTTTCAGTAATTGTGACTTTAGACTACTCATTTGAGATTGTTCTTCCTTCTTTAAATAGGCCTGGATTGCTAATATACTTTCCCCTTAGAACTGTCTTTGCTGCATCCCACAGAAGTTGGCGCTTTATGCTGTTGTTATTTGTCTCCATGTATTGCTTGATTTCTGTTTTAATTTGGTCATTGATCCGTTGATTATTTAGAAGCATGTTCTTAAGCCTCCATGTGTTCATGAGCCTTTTTGTTTTCTTTGTACAATTTATTTCTAGTTTTATACCTTTGTGATCTGAGAAGTTGGTTGGTAGAATTTCAATATTTTTTAATTTTGAGGCTCTTCATGTAGCCTAGTATGTGGTCTATTCTGGAAAATGTTCCATGTGCACTTGAGAAGAATGTGTATCCTGCTGCTTTGGGTATAGAGTTCTGTAGATGTCTGTTAGTTCTGTCTGTTCTAGTGTGTTGTTCAGTGACTCTGTGTCCTTACTTATTTTCTGTCTGGTTGATCTGTCCTTTGGAGTGAGTGGTATGTTGAAGTCTCCTAGAATGAATGCATTCTGTTAGTATTGTTTCACATATGTTGGTGCTCCTGTATTGGGTGCATAGATATTTATAATGGTTATATCGTCTTGTTGGACTGCCCCCTTTATCATTATGTAATGTCCTTCTTTATCTCTTGTTACTTTCTTTGTTTTGAAGTCTATTTTGTCTGATACAAGTACTGCAACACCTGCTTATTACTCCTTGTTGTTTGCTTGAAATATCTTTTCCCATCCCTTGACTTTTAGTCTGTGCATGTCTTTGGGTTTGAGATGAGTCTCTTGTAGGGAGCATATAGATGGGCCTTGCTTTTTTATCCATTCTTTTACTCTGTGTCTTTTGATTGGTGCATTCAGTCCATTTAAATTTAGGGTGATTATAGAAAGATATGTACTTATTGCCATTGCAGGCTTTGGATTCATGGTTACCGAAGGTTCAAGGTAGCTTCTTTACTATCTAACTGTCTAACCTAACTCTCTTATTAAGCTATTATAAACACAGTGTGATGGTTCTTTATTTCTCTCCCTTCTTATTCTTCTTCCTCCATTCTTTGTGTGTTAGGTCTTTTATTCTGTACTCTTTTGTGTTTCCTTTGACTACTTTTATGAATAGTTGATTTTATTTTTTGCCTGTAGTTAGTATTTGGCTGATCTGCTTTCTTTGCTGTGATTTTATTTTCTCTGGTGACATCTATTTAGCCTTAGGAGTGCTTCCATTTAGAGCATTCCCTTTAGAATACCCTGTAGGGGTGGTTTGTGGGAGGCAAATTCCCTCAACTTTTGCTTCTCTGAAAATTGTTTAATCCCTCCTTCAAATTTAAATGATAATCATGCTGGATACAGTATTCTTGGTTCAAGGCCCTTCTGTTTCATTGCATTAATTATATCATGCCAGTCTCTTCTGGCTTGTAAGGTTTCTATTGAGAAGTCTGATGATAGCCTGATGGGTTTTCCTTTGTAGGTGATCTTTTTTCCCCTCTCTGGCTGCCTTTAATGCTCTGTCCTTGTCTTTGATGTTTGCCATTTTAATGATTATATGTTTTGGTGTTGTCCTCCTTGGGTCCCTTGTGTTGGAAGATCTGTGGGCTTCATGGTCTGAGAGACTATTTCCTCCCCCAGTTTGGGAAAGTTTTCAGCAATCATTTATTCAAAGACACTTTCTATCCCTTTTTCTCTCTCTTCTCTTTCTGGTACCCCTGTGATGCGAATATTATTCCATTTGGATTGGTCACACAGTTTTCTTAATATTCTTTCATTCCTAAAGATCCTTTTATATCTCTCTGCCTCACCTTCTCTGTATTCCTGTCCTCTGATTTCTATTCCATTCTATTCCATAGTCTCTTGCACCTCATCTAGTCTGCTTTTAAGTCCTTCTATTGATTGTTTCATTTCTCCCTCCAGACTTCATCCCTTAGCTCTTGCATATTTCTCTGCAGATCTATCAGCATGGTTATGACTTTTATTTTGAATTCTTTTTCAAGATGTTTGGGTATATCTATCTCACCAAGCCCTCTCTCTGGCATTGTTTGAGTGATTTTGGACTGGACCAGGTTCTTCTACCTTTTCATAGCAATAGAAGTGATCGCCAGCAAGTGGCGCGTGTGTCTTGGACTGATACTTAGAATAATTTCTGTCATCATGACTCTAAATCCACAGAGAACACAATGTAGTGAAAAATATCTACAATCATAAAAGTAAGCCACTATTGGTCTTCAACTCTTATAATCATGGGAAATATAGAAGGTCTAAATATAAGTACAGAACAGAATATAAATATTACCAAACATGGCAACATAAGAGAATAATGGGTCTGGAAGAAGAGAGGTGATGGAGAGGACAAGGACGAGTAAAAGTAAGCATAAGTGTCCTTATATATTTATCTTACAGAAGATACTGTCAAAAGTTGGCAGATTAGTAGCAGTCAGAGAGTAGAAATAACCCATTCATCAGTTGATAAGTGGACAAACAAAATGTGGTTTACCTATGGAGTGGAATTTTATTCAGCTATAAAGAGGAATGAAGTAACTGGTACATGCTACAGTGTGGGTGGGCCTTGAAAACGCTGTAAGAGGCCATTCACAAAATACCACATATTTAATTAATCTATTTATAGGAAATGTCCAGAATAGTCAGATTTATAGAGGCAGAGTATACTTCACGGGTTGCACAAGCTGAGGCAGCAATGGGCAGATGGGTGTGACCAGCAATGAGTATGTACATCTTTTTTTCCTTTTCGGGTGATAAAGAGGTCCTAAAATTGGAGAGTGGTGATGGTCTTATAATCCTGGGATTATGCTCAAAAGGTTTGAATTTTATACTTTTAAAAGGTAAATTTTATGGTACTTGGGTTATATCTCAACACCACTGAAATGAACAAAATTTGATGGAACTAGAAAGCAATTTTAAGTTTTTCCAGTAGCAGGGAATCAGTAATTGTTGTTGAAAAAAGTCTAGGAATATAATACACTCTCCTTTCAACAGCCAGAGCAGCCCCACCACCTTACCTTCCATTATTATCACTTGTCATGTCCACATGACTTGCTGCTCCATCAGACTCTGGGATCATGCCGAGCAGGACGGTCATCTCTGAATGCCCTGAACCTGGTGCACTCTCAAGCACCTAGTGGGTGACTAATAAATTATATGATTGAATGATGAATGAGTACCGCAATCATGTTGCTCCTGAGGTTAGAACCCATTCCATCTTGAGGGGAGTAGCCCTTCTTCTGTTGATATCGGTCTCACTCCAGACACCAGCCTGGCCCACAGAAGAGCTGTGGGGAGTAGGTGAGTGACAGGTCCCTCTGGCTGAGTGCTGTGTTCCTCCAGGTGGTCCAGCTGGAGGAGCTCCTGGCAGTGCAGCACTCAGTGTTCATGGTGGACAGTGCCAGTGCTGGCAAGTCCCAGGTGCTGAGGTCCTTGCACAAGACCTATCAGATCATGAAATGCCGCCCCGTCTGGACCGACCTCAACCCCAAAGCTGTCACAAATGAAGAGCTCTTCGGCATCATTAATCCAGCCACACGAGAATGGAAGGATGGTAAGAGCAGGATACCCCTGGGGGAAAGTCCCCACTACCCTCAGAGGCCCTCAAGCAGGTGTGAACATCGTGAGAAGAGCTGCAGAGGAGAGAATGCTTAGCTGGTCTTTTTGGGATGGGAGAAGGAAGTGAAGAGAGAATCAAGGAAAGGAAGAAACCCTTTGGCTTGGAGGGGAACCTAGCCTTTGGGGTAGTCTCTTTGCTTGGGGACTTTGCAGCTGCCCCTTGAAAGGGGGCACTCACAGAGGATGAGGCCACCAGGCATTCCCAGCTGCAGTTCTGTGATTCTGGAGCACAGTCACAGAGTCCCTAGCCAGGCAGTGGGTTTAAGACATGGGTGTGATAGGGAAGCCCACAGCCCATTCCTTAGGGAGCAGTGCAGTGTGGCATTCCACAGAGGGCACAGCCCCAGGAGAGATGGGGAAGCTGCCAAAGGGGACATTCACCATCATTCATCTCAGGAGGGCCCTAGAACCCTGGTCTCTTCAACGATCCTGAGGGTTCCAAACCTTTGTTCACTCATTGCTGACCTCACCATCAGCAACGGGCGGATGTTGAAAAAGGGTCTATTATCACTGGGTGTGAGCAGAAAAGAAAGTGAAGACAACTCTCTGTGAGTGGATATGATCTCTTTCTAAAACTGATGTTTCAGAAATGAATGAGGACATCTCGGATCCCTCCTCATGTCTCCATGTCTGACTACATCAGGGTCAAACTGCCTGGGTTCCTAATTTAGAGCCTTCAGTCAGAGACCTAGAATAAGGGGAGTAGCATCTCTAGTTTTTATTTCAGTGACTATTAATGAGGCTTAACATCTCTTCCTTGTTACTGGTCTTAGTAATTGGCTCCTCTGTGATTTGACTCCCCCTTATTATTTTCTTATCAGTTTGTACAGTTCTTTATATGTCAAAGCGATGAACCCTTTATCTGTTGTAGGCATTGCTAGTGGATGTTCCCTATTTGCCATTTTTCTGCACACACTTCATGGCATATTTACCATACACTTTTTAGAGGAGGAAATTATGTCCATCTAGTCTTTTTAGAATGTGGAATTGTTACATAGTTTATAACCCTTTCTACCTTTCAGCTATACATTTGGTATCATAAATTTGGTCCTAGAAATTCTTTTTATGTTTACATTTTTATCCATCTGGAATTTATTTTGGGGCTTGGTATGAGGTAAGGTACAGAATCAATTTTATTTCCTTCCAGGTAGATAATTTAAATTAATGTGCAGCAACATTTATTAAGTAAAGTATCCTTTCCCTCTGAATTTAAACACCAGCTTGTCAAATACACTGAGATCTAACTGGGTTTTCTACTTTGTTCCACTCACCTATTTATCTAATGCCATTCTATTTTAGTCACATTTTATAACATTTTAATGTCTGATAAGGTAGGGCCCTCCTCAATGCTCGTTTGTAATTTTCCTGGCTAGTCTCAAGTACTTCCTATTCCATATCAGATTTAAACTCACATAATATAATCCAAACTTTAAGTGGTGTTTCAATTTTAATTAAAGTTTTATTAATGTGTTCATTAAATGTTGAAAATCTGACAAAATTTATAATAATCATAAATCTGTATTCACTAAACAAGAGAACTTCCAAGTAAATGGAGTATGACTTTATTAAATGTCTCAGAACCACTTAATAAAACAGTAATATAGTGTATTATATTAATGCATCTTTTTCAATATTAGATCCAGTAGACAGAAAAATAAGTATAGACATAGAAGTGGGAAATATATCATCAAACTCAGTATAACACATAGTTATATAACTTTGCATCTTACAAATAGAAAATATTCCTTTCTTGGTAGGTTCATGGAACATTTCCAAAAATTTAGAGTTTCATTGGGATCAAAGCAAACCAGAATGAATTCAAAAGTGTTAATGCAGAGGCCACAATTTCTAATAATAATGCAATAGAATTAGAAACAAATAGCAAGGAAATGACCAAAAATAATGTTACCACTTGCAGATCAAGAAATGCTCACTTAATCCTTGGATTAAAGGGAAAATTAAATTGCAATCCCTGTAGGAAGCAATAGAAAGAAAAACACTTCATCAAAACCTATAGGACATATCTAAAGCCAATAAGGAAGAACTCTAAACTCTATTTTACAAGGTAGATGAGAAATGAAGGAAGTCATTATCCATCCTAATTATTCAAAGAATAATAAACTAAACCTGGAGAAAATTGGGAAGAAGAAACAATGCAGATAAAAGCTAAAATTGGTGGAAAGAAGCAAAGAAAACCATAGGAATGATAAGTAAATGTAAGTCCATTGTGAGCATGATTAATGGGAAAAAAAAAGTAAAATTGTATCATAGGGAAGGAGAAAGAAGATGTAACAGATACAGACAAGATTAAAATAGAAGAGAATACTTAGATGACACATACAAAAATCAGAAATAAAATGGTCCACTGGTAAAGTATAATGTTAAAAGATTTACTCAAAATGAAGTAGAAAATGAGTTAACTAATAAAGAGGAAAATTTGAAAATATAGCCAGAACAAGAAAAGATAATTCCAAAATCATAAAAAGGACTTCCCTCAATTCATTTTATGAAGCCAGAATAAACTTGATATCAACTTTTCTGTAGAACCAAAAACAAGAGCCTAATTTCACTTAGTAATGTAGATTCAGAAATTCATGATAAAATATCAGTAAATAGAATCCAACACTGTAGAGAAAATGGAAGTTCCATGGCCAGGATTCTCACCTGACCTTGGTTTGCTTGCCCACTGAGCATGAGCAGTGCTGGTAGGTGCTGACTTGCACACCTGTGGGCAATGAGATATTAGTGACTCAATGTAAGGAGCTCCACCCAGTGCTCTGGGGCTGTGTGGCTGCAAGGTCGTGGAGAGGTGGGGAGGTAGAGACTAGCCTGCTGTATGCAGACTGCCCTCAGGCAGACAGGATTCTAGAGCTTGACCTGCCACCATGAGAATAAAGCTGGCTATAAACCCTTTTACCCCAAGAACATTCCATTGTCACTTTTCCTTCTCACCAAATCCAGAGTGAACTTGCCTGGGGCTGACACCCTCAGGGGAGACAAACACTATCTCAAAAGAATAATATACTTTGACCAAGTAGAATCTACTCTAGGAATGTAGGGTTACATTGATTATTTTTAGAGTGTTTTTTAAAGTATTAATTATTTTTCTAAGTATTTTTAAATACTTATTAAGTATTTAAGTATATAAGTATTAATTACTTATTTTAAAGTATTAATTAAAGCATTGAAAAATTAAGGGTGTAAATCATTTGGTCAATCAGCAGATGCTAAAAACTCACTGGCCACTCCTAATTTTTTTAAAATTCTAAGTAAAATAGAAATAGAAGTGTTGGATTCCCCTGAGGAAGGCGCCGCCCCAAGTCACTCACCAAAGACGTTTCTTGATGCAACAAGCAAGAGGAATTTATTCAGAAGCCAACTAGCTGGGGTCCAAGTCAGCCCGATGCAGCGGGTCTCAATGAGGACCCTGAGCACACAAAGCCAGAAGGTTTTATAGCATTTTCAAAGGGGGCAACATTTTCCACAATCACAATACAGTGTTTTTTCATAGACACATAAATCTTTGCCTGGGGCCACATCCTGGGGTCTGGTTAGATAAGATTACCTTCGGAATGTTTAGGGTGGTTCTAGTAAGATAAGCTTGGTGTGTATGATTAACTGATTTGAGGTCAGCTAATTAAAGGTCACTACATTTAACACTGGCTGACTAACTTGTTTTTCAAGATTCTAATAATTTTCCTCCTTCTAGGTTAGGGGGTGGTATTTAAGCCTTTAAGATGGCTGTACTTATGCTAACTTTTGATT